CTAGTGACATCAGCATGTCGGAAATCACCAAAACACCTGAAATCGAATCTGATGTTTCTCATACAAGTCAAGAAACCCATCACATCTTTCTTCAAACCGAAAAACTTGCTCTGTGTTCTGTTCTTCACATGTATCCTCTCGATCTCTTCCATTACAGATTGCCAGTTCTTGCCTTTCCCGCCACATTTACTAGGCCGGACTTTGATCTGGCCGGCGCAAGTGACTTTAGGAGAAGTAGGTTCGGCGATTTCGTCACCTCCAAGATTCTTAACACTTGCTTGTTTAGCCCACAAAACAGGACTCCCGGCGGAGAGTTTGCTGAGCTGGCGACGGTGGTGAGGACGACGGTTGTTGGTTGAGTCGGAAGGACGAGATGGGCTACATATGGGCTTAGGAGTGAGAGTTAAATGGGCTCTTGAAGGGAAACAAACCAACAAATCTGCAGAGTAACCAGAAGAAGAAGAAGATCCTCTGTTTCCTTCTCTTCCTTTGATCATAATTCTCTCTGCTTTTGTGTTTTCTTGGGGTTTGGTTTTAGTTTTTGGGGATCGATCTATCAATGAAATGAAAGTGTTCAGCTTTTTATGTTTGGATTTATAAAATTCTTACTTTTTTTTTCTTTTTTCTTGAAATTCTTGTGTTGTGACAGCTTTACATGCTTTTTGCTTTTTGAGGGGGAAAAAACTTTCTTTTTCATTGAGAAACCCTTTTTTCAACAAAAAAAAAAAGTGAAAAAAATTCGGTGGTGTAATGTATCTTTACCAATTGTCTTTGTTAAATGTTGAAAATTTTGTTGTAAAATTGATGGATAAATATGAAATGGGGTCAAAGGAGTGAAGTGGGTTCATTTTATAACTTTTTATTCCATTGTAAACAAGAAGCTTCTTGACTGAATCATTCACTTTCAACATTCAATGATCATCACCACTTCTTCTTCATTTTTTTTTTTAATGGATTCATTCATTTCTAAGTTTTTCATATTTCTTTGAGATTTATATGCCATTATCAAATGATGGGGTTTGAATATTAACGGCCATAGTATAAAAGACATAATTCTACGAAATGTGACGTCCATATTTGGTCACTATACAACTCATGTAATAGCTGATAGCCTAGCAAAACATGCGCATAGTCGCTTGAGTGTAACGTCGGGATAAGTAGGAATGAATGGAAAAACTACTTTCTAATTAAAAAAAAAAAAAGAACTCATGTAATAGATGTATACTCTAGATTTCACCTCTATAAACGAGATTAGCACAAAGTAAATGCATCGGTCATAGTTCTTGCATTAATCGATAAATCAAATCTGCGATCAAAATTCGAAGTTTTTCGATGATTTTATAGTAAAAGGATACAACTTTTTTGTGTGTGACAAGTACATTCATAGATGAAATAATATAAAAAGTAATATAACATGTGAATGTGACAAGGGTGATGATGGGTTATAGTCGAATTGCTCCAATAGATTAAAGTTGGAAAGGTTTCGTGGGCTTTACTTTTGCAAAAATTCAATATAAATTTTAGAATAATATAATATTTATATGAATGGAAAAGGAAAGACAATGGTATAAAGAGGAAAAAAAAAGGAAAAGATTGGAAGGGCACGAGGCTTGTTTCTTAAACCAATGGTACTCACAAGCTGTGTGGTCACATTTTCCTTTTGTTGTTGTTATCTTCAACCACACACTCATCAAATTTTTCCATTTGCCATTTAACTACCTTGTAACTATATCACCAAACTATAGCAACACCAAATGACAATGATATTCAGGAGGAGAGCAAAACTAGTTTGGGATGTGAATGATGTAATGATGCGATATAAAGTATTGGAATAGTGTATGATAAAAGTATTGCGATATTGGGACATGAATTATTTGATATGATTGTTTCACAATCGGAAAAAATCATTGCGGTGAAAAAATGATCGGAAAACTAAAACAGATCGTGGTTCAAACAATTTGGTTTCTCTAATATCACGTTCAAATAATCGCAATTTTTTATGGTTAGTTTCAGGTAAGACTTCAACTCAACATCAAGTAAAGTCAAAAAATTTGTATAGAGATTAGAAAACACTTTGTGCAAACTCTTTTCCACCATGTTTATAGAAAATACCTTAATCATTTGTTACACGCCTAATTTTACGGTTTAGCACTTTAACTCGGCATTAAAACAAATCTTTAGTCGACACCATACTTTTTCTACAAAGAACATAATAAACACACTTAAATTTCCTTAGTGATTCAAAAAACTCTTGAAATTTGTTGCATGATTTGGACGAGTTTCAATTCTTGACTACGATAGAAGGTGTCCTAAACTTCAATTCAATACCTAATATTTGATTTCATGCCATGTTTCTCACGCAATATATTGCTTTTAATTGAATTATCAGTTTTCTCAGTTTTGGACGCAGCTCTGATCCAACTTTAGTTTCAACAATTCCAGTATTTTCCATGAAACACTTGCTTTAACCGTCAATTTCTAGCCGAATTAAAACATGTATAATCAACATGGACGTGTTAGACCTTTTGGTAAGAGAAATATTGTAAAATTTAATGAAATTTAACTATTGTTACAGATTCTTGTAACTGGTATTTTTTTTTAACATTCCTTTTTAGATACACTTTTATCTTACTAAGGTATAATCGAAAACAACCTTTAACAAAAATAATAATCTAAAACAACAGTTTAAATTAAGTAATTGGCTTCCACCGAATTTGAGTAATCATGAAAACTCGGTTTTTTTCACTCTAATTCACGTGAATGGTAGGGAATTACTTAATCTAATTCACTTAAATTTACCAATGCTGCGCTAATTGCGTCCATCTCTTTAAAGTAGTACAGTATAATGATATAAATCAAATAAAAGGAAAAAATCAAATAAAAATAAGCAAACGTTACATACCCCAACTAAATGAAATAAATTAAAAAAAAATGAAAAGAAAAGTTAGGTATGTTTTATTATATCATTGAGAAGTTGCATCAACATTGAGGTAGGCCTTAGCACTAAAAAACTTTTATTTAACAGTTATTAGCAATTTCTTTATGTATAAATAAATTATATAAAGGAAGATATTGTTTTTTAAAATATTTTTTCATAAAGATAAATTTATGTAGATGATGTTTGATTTAGTTGTACAGTACACCATTGCTTGTGAATGAGAACGACAAATATTGAGAAATCATGTGGGTAGGCCTTTGGCACTAACAGCCTCTCCTTGAAAAAGTTAGGCAATTCACATTTTACTCCTTTTTCACGAACTTAACTCTTTGTATTTCTCTTTGTCAAATCACAACGGAATCTAATTTAATTATAGAAAAATTGTATAAGTGTATCGTAAACAAAAGCTTAATAGGGAAAGAAAAAAAAATCATGATAAAATGTGACAAAAAGAAGCCTGATAAATATGAAAATTGTATTGCCTGAACACTTTAAAACTTGCAATCAAGGTTTTGGATTGAAGCATCATTCATACCTATAGGCTGTGGCTGGGATTCACTCTCTAATTTTAAAGCATAAATATTTTTCATTCAAATGTAAGCTAGGACCACACTTTAGATTTTATAATAGGGATTAATTTATGGTTTAATGAAACTAACACCTTAATTTCTTTCTTTCTTTCTCCGCACCGCACTCTATCACCTTTTTTGCAAATTTAGAATAATGTTAAAGAATTATATTAGTGACCTAATCAATAAAACATCTTTTATTTCATGATAGTGATGATACCACTGAATGGCATATTAATTAAACAATGTGTTCATAATGATATCATATCAATTCTTTATCAGATTTTTTATTTGTTCAAGAAAAAGGTAGAATTGTGGTTTTGCTTAAAGGGCCTTGATGGGCTTAAAACCTTGATCCATGAAACTTGAATCTTTACACTCGATTGCAATTTGCATAATAATTAATTGCTTTTATTTCACACACAAAAAAAAGGAGTTGTGATTTCTCATCTCATTCCAAAACTTAATAAAATTAAATGGCAAGTATTTCATAGTCAATATCAGAATCAGAACCCATTTCATTATTTTTTTCCTAGCCAACTCATTGTAGTAGACCAGAGAATTTAATCTTATAAAATAGTTTTTATAGCTATCTGTTTATTCGTTCGAATCATAAGAGTAATAATTTATCCAAAATATAGCTAATTATATTGTTTATTCGTTCGAATCATATCTACATATTAAATTGTATACTGCAACGCATTTAATGTTTGATAATCATATCAAATTAGAGGAATAATTGGGATTTGATGTCATTTGACCAAATTCGTACGTCAATAGTACAGGTGGCTTTTGCACGGTTGTGTAAATGTGTATGTACATAATAGAAAAAGGCCGAACAAATTAAAGCCCATTGGGCCTTTATTCGTCTTCAGAAAGAATTCATCTCCAACACATTTCTCCTACGCTTAAGCAACGCCGTAACGGCTTCACCGTACATACACTCTCCGCCGTCTCCGGCAAAAGCTTCCGTCGCCAGCTCAACATCATCGTCATCGGAAACAACACCGGTCGGTCTTACGATAACGAGCGTGGCGGCTTCGAGACAAATCCCGCTTTTCAGCTTCAACGACGGCGCGTGTCTCATACTCATTCTCACGCTAGGAACCACCGTGCGTTCTCTCACGCGCTCTACTCCTTTCTCAATCTCACGCGCCGCCGTCTCTCTGTACTCTTTCATCCCCGCCGCGTTCATCACCACCGTACCTTCACCTTCTCTGTCAATCACAGTCAATTTCTCCATCTCCTTGTGATCTTTCACCAAATCCTTCATCAAGTAATGACGAGTCGAAGCAGCCATTAACGCGCTTATCGTCCACACCACGCGCGTCTTCAATCCACAAACGAACTCTGAATCTGACTCTACACCAGTAACACCACCGTCGACGGCGGAAGATGCCGTCGTATTAACAGTCGCGGAACGGTAAGCGACGATGACGCAGCTCTTTAAGGTTTCACCGAACTCAGCTTTCCACTTCACAGCGGCGCCTTTCTCGAGCTTGACATCTCCGCCGTATAACTCAACCTCCAGATTCCGGATCCGTTCAAATCGGGAGAGAATCTGAGCCGGAGTTTTCGGAGATCGGGTCAGGATTTGGTCCGGGTTAACGGATTTCGAGAAGATAGGAGGTAAGAGACCGTGGATGGATTTGAATAGAGATCGGAAGAAGTTAGAGATCGGAGAATCGATCTCGGAGTCGGAATCGGTGGTGGTGGTGGTTCCGAGGATCTGATCGAGTTGGAGAAGAAGCGAGTCAGACTGAGTTGCTAACGAGTTGAATCGTTTCGAGACGGAACGACACCGTATTAGAGTTTTGACGTCACCGACTTTGTTCAAAATGTCGATGACCACAGGATCTGGAATCGCATCAAAAGCGTCCATTAAAAAATGAGAGATTCTTCTTTGGTTTGACCAAAATACCCTTGTGAAACCTTCGGTTTCGATTAGAGAGTTCTC